TAAATACTTCCCATATATTTATTATTTTCTTCTTCTATCATATGAAAAAAATAAAATTGAGCAGCAGCTTTTGGAGGAGCTCTGGCACTATAGCTAAGGTTTTCAAAGACTACAAGTTGTAATTTGTACATCTCGTTATGTCTAACTACTAGTACTTTTCATTCTTCATTCAACATTTGTAGAAAATCAGCCAATATACTCTTATTTTCAGTTACTACAGACAACTGGTGGGGCACAAGGGACATTACCATTAACCATTCTGAAAGTGCTAGCTTCCCAGGCCTGCCATGGTAAGGAAAATATTGTTTCATGCCTTTTTGTTCTGAAGCAAGTATGCTATCACTGAAAAGTCAGCAGTAAAAGAGAACAGCAGGATCCATTATTTTTCTTGCTGAAGAATTTGGGACATAATTTACACATTGGCTATGCTTTAGATTGTATGTCAATTTTCTTAGTAATTCTGAATCAGAAGGCAAACAGAATCAGTTGTTAACTGCCTGTATCACCTGCACTTGGGACTTTCTCTGATTCCCACCAGGACTCATCAGGGTATCATTGCCCAAGTCATCATTTGGTTTTCAGCTACCCCCAAGTGCCCCTGAGGAGATCCCTGATGATTTGAATTGGGATTTGATCACCTAGCAAGTGAAAGACATTGTAGCTCATTCTTCATGGAGGGATTCTTGCAGGGAAAGGAAGCTCTGCACGCTGGTCCCAATGGATTATTCCAATTTGTAATCTGAGGCTATCTGAAATTTCAGAGATGAGTCCAACATAATTTTCTTCCTTGTCCCACTTTGCTAATCATAAAGATCTTTTTGCCATCGGAAACTTCTAATTTCCAAAAGAACCAAACAAAAGACGATGGGCAGCTTGTGGGGTGAGCATCAATACGAAAGGTTCAGAGAGAGATCCATTGGATCAAACGGCTGTCCCCAGTATGGGAGGAAACCTAGGCCAGCCCAAGAGTATATGTTATAGCTTTAGCAGGCTACATAGGTATCTTAATTTCCCAGTGGCTGTGTTCCAGATTAGTTAAGGACCTAGCAGTTGCATTTGCACATGCAATATCTGGGGGTTTTAACCTTTTATTTCTTTTTGCAATGTAGTGTTTTTTCAAATAATTTAAAATTATAAATGAAATAAATAAAAGCAAATACAAACTGTCAGTCATTCCTTGCCAGAAAAAGTCATGTAAGGGAAACCAGATATAATTATTTTCTCCTTGTAGCCCTTTAGAATAAGCCATCTTTAAAACTATTTTCCTCTTTTAGCCATATAGAGTAAACCAACTTTATAAATCTTCCCTGAATTTTTAAGATCTCACTTTTTAACCCTCTCAGAAAGAGACCCAGAACTAGTTTTTTGTTCATCTGTTTTTGTAGTCACAAGTCTTTCAATACTTATCCTTTCATTTGTCCCTCTCAGTGAAATCTTTCTAGACCTTAAAAAATTATTTTATATATATATCTAGTAAAAAATTAACCAAATCCATTTCCTGGTATAATAATTGTACAGTTCCTTGGGGAATAAATCATCAGTATGCACTATGTGTCCATATCTTTCTCCATTTCACTGCTTATCACAAATATCTCTTCAAAATAATTTCAGAATTATCAGTTAAAGCTTGTTCTATAACTTCATTACAACATCTGTTCATTTTATCAAGAAGTTTGTCTATGTGCTCAAAAATATTAGCAAAAAATATTTAATAGCTTTTGTTATAGAATTCTGCTCCATTCTTTTCTTTATCCTTTATTTGCCTCTAATGTCCAGCCTTCAAGAGCCGTTATCATAAAATCCCAAAACAAAACTATTTTCTTATGAGAAAGTTCATTTTAATTAAATCAAAGTTAAAATTCCAAATGTATCTGGCCCTATAATTCATCATTAACAATCTGAAATCCATATTGTAAGTATCATTTTCCTTTATTATCCACAACCCGCTCCCTCCCCCCCCCTTACAGGTAGTCCTCAATTTACAACCATTATTAGAATTGGAATGTCCATCACTAAGCAGTAAATCATGCCTGATTTTACAACTTTTTTTTGCCAGAATCTTTAAGTGACGGATGGTCATTAAGAAAATCAGGCTTCCCCCATTGACTTTGCTTGTCAGAAGCCCCCTGTAATTATAACAAATGGCAATTACATGACACTGGGATGCTGCAACCATTGTTCATACTTTTTTTTGGAAATAAAATTGTTTTGGAAAATAAAGAAACTAAAGAAAAAGAGGAACTAAATATTTTACCACAAAACTCTCCTACTCTTCTTTCTTTTCAGGTGCTATTAAATTCAACGACAGCTTGACTTTTGATGAAAGTTGCCATCTTATGGCTTCTTTGTCATGTTGTCAACTGCCTTTCCAATGTGCTCACGGGAGACCTTCCATGTTGCCTCTGGCAGATGTGGATCATTTGCAGCAGGAAAGTCAGGTAGGTACAGAGCACATAAGATGCACATTGTGTTGACTGTTACTCTGCTACCTGTGTGTCAGTGTCATTTACTACGGGCATTGGTAAAATAGAATCATAGCTGTGAGATGGGTGCCTCGATATATTGTTTAAATTAGTAAAGGAATAAAATCCCTTGTTGCAGTTGAATGTTCTAAGATATTTAACATCAGCTGAAGAATTTTGTCCTATTCTTTTAATCTGAAAGAACTGAAAGAATGTCAAAATATGATATTGCCCAAATACCAAGAATATGTTATTAAAATTGGAGGGAAAAAACATAAATAACCTGCACTATGCTGATGACCCTACTCTGACAGTTGAAACTATGTAAGATCTCCAGGCTCTAGTAAAATAATAATAATAATAATAATAATAATAATAATGATGATGATGATGATGATGATGATGATGATGAAGAAGAAGAAACACAGTGAAAAATGGGACTAAAATTATATATAAAGAAGACCAAATTAGGTACAATAACTTAGAATTGACAATGAAGATGTTGAAGAGAGCTTTTGCATTTTATGATCAACTATAAATGAACAGCAGCCAAAAAATATGCCGCAGACTAGCATTTAGTAGTGTAGCAATGAAGTCCTTGGAAAAGTTATTCAGATGCTGGAATTGTCTACATCTACAAAGACCAGAATAATGCAAATAATGGCATTCTGTGTAACTTCTTTTAGAAGCAAAAGTTGGATTTTGAAAAGGCAAGATAGAAAGACCATTGATGCTTTTGGTATTGAAGAAACCCCTGGGAATTCTGTGGACAGCGAAGAAAACAACCACATGCATCACTGAACAAATGAAGCTAGAGTTCTCACTTGAGGCACAAATGACCAGGCTCAAATTAGTCTGCTTCAAAGATGTTATATGAAGTCCTAATTCTCTAGAAAAGTCTCTAATACAGAGAAAGGTGGAAGAAAAGAAAACAGGATAACCAACATCCAGATGGATAGACTTAGTTATAGTGGCCATTGGAAGACCTGAAGGATCAGGTTACAGTCAGATAGTCATAGAATTATTAGGAGGCAGCACAGACTTGATGGCACATAATCTATCAATATTGGTACCATTATAACCATTAACTACTGTCATCAACAGCAGAACACTCATTTTAAAATAATCTAAATTGGGTATCTCTATTTCTATCTCTGTCTGCTCAGCAGTTATTGCTACAGAACAGGAATAGCTGTATCGTTAAAGGGCAACATTTTCAAAGAATACTTTTTTAGCTTGGGGGAATTAATTAATTTTTGGGGGGAGGATTTCTTTACACACTTATAGTTTCTCAAACTGCACAGTTGTTTACCATCAAAATTCAGCAGCATACTGCATTATGGACCCTGCAGACTAGCCAGGAATTTAAGAGTAAATTCTGGAGAAATCACGGAAAGGCTTAGGAAGGGCATACACAGCCTGCAAGTTTTTGATCCCTGCTGTATTGCATGCCAAATAGTATGCAACAAATTTGAAAATTTGTTAATCCGAATGCCAATTAGTAATAGAGGATTGTCTGGGTTATTGTCTTAATTATTGTCAATGAGCCATTGGCATTTTTTTCCCTACAGCCGAAACCTAATCTGGCCAAATTAAGAAAAATGGTTAAAGCCTGGAAGCTCTTTGGGAAAGAAAAAGAATCTACTGTGGAAGTTGAAGCCTCAACAGTTCTACCAGTATGAATACAGGTGCTATCTAAACACTTGTTTTTGTATTATGAACTCCCTGGTATTATGGAAGAGGAAAAGTATTTGGAAAGGAGTCTAATGTTTGGAGCATCTATATGGGAGTCAGAATAAAAGATTTTGTTCCCTTAGGGAACATGGAGTAATTTCATGTGCACTGGAATTGTTTTTTTAATTTGGAAAAAAAAAGCATTTTTTTAAATGAACCCTTGCCTCTTTTTACCAAAGTAGTTTCACATATTTGCAAAACTCTGATTTAAACAATAATTCTGGTGTTTTATATCAATTCATAATGGGAGCTAAATGTAAACCTGATTTCTAGTGCAGGTTGTACTTTTTAATGAATTGCTATTTAAAAACAGTCTTCCATCTTTTTGCTATTGCTAACATGGAGCATAGATTACTTTAACTTTCTTAAAGTATATATCACCTTTAGATGAAAGCGAAGTGAGAATAGGTTAAAAAGCAATGTAATTTCCATTTTATATTTAGTCAGTTTTCTATTCTATCTTCTTTTTGAAACTTTTTCTATGTATTATAGAAAATATTTCTCAACAATTTAAGAGCAATGCCTTCTTTCATGAGAACAAAAATAAGCAATTCTGATAGTCAAATGTTTTAGAGTACAGTTCTCACAATTCTTTATCACTGACCATAAAGGCAGAGGTTTATGGGAACTGAAATCCAAAGTACCTGGAGGACATTAAATTGGCTATTCCTGAATTAGTATGGCACCGGCATATGAAGACTTCAGAATTTTGTGGGATATTACTAATAAAGTTGTTGAAACATACCTGGAGGTCTCATGCCAACAGAAAAAGCACAGCTAAAAAAATACTTTTGAAGATAGCACTTTCATTTTTTGTAGTTTATTTATTTCCCCAATGAAAATATTGGTATTTGTTATATCACCCATTTATTCTGGAATAAATTAAGCCCATAGTGCAAAGTTTCAAAGTTCACGATCATCTGGATGATAAAGTTCGCTCATAAGACGATAGATATAAGAAGGAGCGTTGCCTCCAATGTTTGAGATGAAGAGTGTAATAAGTTCTGGAGGAACGTAGTCAAAAACTGGACAGTAAACATTGACCTTTGATAGAATCTCTCCTGAAAGAAAAAGATTTACACGATTGAAAAATGACCAGTAACACAAAGAGAGAGACGGGGTGACCAGCAGATATGTCTACTGCAAAAAGCAATTTAGTTTCATATTATTTAGAATAAATTATTTGCACTTAGGTCCATTGAAACCATTGAAAAGTAGTTATGACTCATTAAAGACCTACTTCAATGTAAATGCATTCAGCTGAGAACTTAGTTACATGCATAAATCTATGTGTGCTGGTATTCTGCCTTAAAACAAGGCATTGCTATGAGGAGGGGAGACTGCTGATCTAAAACTTCTATTTCCCCTTGAGGCTCTGGGATTAGGTGAAATGTTTACCAGCCCTTCGGATTAGCATAGGTATTTTCCCACCCACTGATTTACAGCAAGAAACAACAAGTATTGGAGCTTAAACACCAATGAAAACATGGTCACTGGTGGTTCCACCTAGCTACTTTGTTCATGTAGTACAATAGCCCAGCTGCCAGAGTGGTTCCATGATGAGAATTCCCATTAGAAAAGGTTGGATGCTACGTATCTAAATTAATCATTCAAAAGTCCAGGTTGTAAGCAAGTGCCTCCAGCTTGAAGCTGACTAATTTTGCACATGCCGAAGATCACACTTGGAAAAATTGAACAGGACTCTTAAGTGATAAAATTAACTCATTTCTCCATAGCTCTCAATTAACAAATGTTTTTACCTTCTGTAAAAGGCAGTACTTCCTGTGGAGAGACAAACTTGTGGAATGAATCCTCTTCATTAAGAAACTGAAAGTGAGAAGAGCAAGAGACAGAGAAGGATTAGACATAATCTCAACAACTCAATATTCCCCTGCTCAGTAACATACGTTAGAGGACCTCAAACTTCATTACACCACAATCCCGTGAAATAAGAAATAATTCCCTATAATCCTACTGTAAATAAAACTAATAAAATAAGTGAATTCAAAAACCTGTTTGATTGCCCAGTTTTTGATAGAGGGTTAGATCCAAAGATTTAGCCATTTCTGAGAACTCACCCAGGGTTTTGTTCCTCACTTTAACTGAACAAGCACTCTTGTCAGTTTGGCACAGTTGAACCTGAAGAAAGTTTTGATAGCACTCCTACTTTGCCTCCACAGAACTGATCAGCCTTTTAAAAGTAGCAGGCCCACCTTGTAAATTGCTAGCAACCTGTGAGGATGGGGAGATTACAACCACTATCTGAGAATCCCTGCTGTGTGCCATAAATTTTGTTAGAAAAATGCATCATAGGGCTCACTGTTTCACTGACAAAGGTACGGAGATTCTTCTCTGAAAGGTACACTGCTTGCTTGCAGACCGCTAGCTGAATCCCATTTTTCCAGTGCATTCTTATTTATCTTTATATTGCCACAGTAGCACTTTTGTATTTCTCTCAACCAAAGATACAGTTCAAAAGTCACTGCACTTGCCTGTGGTGTGAGTTTGAACATGGGTGCACAGACAATGAGAGGAGTAGAATGGTGTTTGGCTGCTAGCGCCAGAGTATGAGTTCCACTGACAGCTATTAATGCGCCATTGGCCAAAATGGTTTTTGTTCCGATGATAACCTGCAAAATACAAGTGGACAATGAAAATTGCTTGTCATAACAAAATAAAAATTGATCTACAACATTAATAAATTCTCTTTCTACATCATAATTTAAATGTTGGTTGCCAGAAAAAAACATGGTAAATTGTGGTCATATGACTGCGGGATGCTGCAGTCATAAATGTGAGTCGGTTATCAAGAGCCCAAAATGCAATCACGTGAGCATGGGGTATGTATGTGTGGCCATCGAAATTTGAATGGTTGCTAAGCAACTGGTCAAAAGTTGAAGACCACCTGTAAAAAGAAATCTGGGTAAAGATACAATTGGAATGATACTGTATCACCAATAACAATACAACAATGCAAGATATACATATGTGGTTTTTGTTTTTCCTCTATGAAACTCTATGATTTGGTGTTCTGCCAGTAAAAAGAAAACATGTCAACTCTGAAGAGACAAATCCAAGAAGCCCACCTTGTTGACTCGAGACATAACAGCAAAGATGGCTGCATCACTCATGACCGTGGTTTCTATATTCTCTTTAGACAAACTGACAGCCATTTCATGGCCCTGCAAGAAAAAAAGATGTGGGAAGATTAATATTTGGGGAGATACAACAAGTAAACATTGTGAGCTATGCATTTTGAAGCTTCTTGAATGTATATTATCAAGTTAGGCCACACAAACAATTCAAATAAATTCAGCAGAAGAAAGAAAATGCAGTGAGATATCTGGCTAGGTAATTTTGAATTGGGTAAGCAACATCGCATTTCTGCTTCATGAAGTCTACACATATATCATAGTATATTTTTATTTAAAATGATGTTCCATGTTAAGCGTCAACACCAAATTAGTGCAAAGAAGTGTTCACATAACAAGCCCTTACCTGGCAAAAGGGTGCACATTCAGCCACAATGACATGGAATTTCCTTTTACGTGCTGCCTCTTTCAGAAAAGCCTCCACTGTGCGTGAATAACCAATAGTCATAATCACTTCATTGGAGTGGATGTGTTCCAAAGCCTGGGTGGAAATATTTTCAGTAGTGCTCTCTACAAGGAAAAGAAATCTAGTCATCTAGTCATCAAAGAAATCTAGAGAGAAGAGACAGAAATTTGCCTGGAAGACATCGTTCAACATTTCTCATATATAAATCTCTAAATTGACTAATTTTAACTGACATGGTTATAAAGATTTACTTAACAGAGTATCCGGATAAGTCTACATTTCATAGAATTCTCAATTGACAGAATCAGTAGTCATGAATAACTGAAATATAGTAATAAAGAATTGGTTGGAAAAGCCTAAAGTGGAATGTTGCAAAGACATTTTTAAAAGACCACCTAAATATTTGCTGACAGAATGCATAGGATAGGAATAGATCATTTTTTGACACTGATGGACACAAGAGAATCTTGGGATTATGATGTAGACTTTTTAAAAGAATAGTTGTTGGGTGTGTTGTACATTTAAAAAACTCATTTGATTGAACATGGTCAATCCTAAAAGATATTGTGACATGCAAACTATGCATCACATCTTAATACCCACCCATCCTACCTCTGGATTGCTCTATATCAGTACTTTTCAATCTCAGCAACTTTAAACTGTATGAATTTCAACTCCCAGAATTCCCAACTGGCCAGAATTCCATAATTTATTTCCTAAGACTATCTGGAACTCATAAGCATTCTTGGAAATGATGTAAAATTTTGATGCTGGTATTTTGTTTTACACTATGCCAACATCTTATTTAAAATCAGGTGAGTCTGCTGATTTTTAACAGATTCGTACACATTACATTGCACAACTTAATTTGTCTTTGCAATTATAATTGGAGGAAAAGTTATTACATACAAGCTGCTTAATTTCTTCAAATTACACAGGCAAAATATTTACTGTAAGTGTTCCATACAATGCAATTATTTCTTAGCATTGTCCAGTTCACAAATCAGGCCAGACTGCCTCTGCATTGTTTAAAATGTAACTAGCACTGAAGTCTTTCTACAGCATTCCTATTTAAATGGAAGAGATCTTTCTGCTGATTGGAAGGCATCTTAATGCTGCAATTTAGGATGTAAATTGAAAAATCTTATTTTACCAGGAATTATCTAATTTCCAATTCCTTCTATTCTACCATCATCTTCTCTTACCGAGTTCAAGTAACAGCTCTCTAATAGCATCAATAATATTGGCCCTTAGTGGCTGATAGCAGATCTTGAAATCTTCACTGAGACCTCCTGAGGTCAGAAGTTTGTGGAGAGATTCTTGCTGGTCACTCTCTTCACTACGTCCTCGGAGCCTGTGGAACAAATATCCAGGCAAAATGAGAAAATGTAGTGAAAGCCTGTAACATGGTCTCATCAAAAGATTTAAGAACTTTAAAAGTCGTATCTCTGGAAGGAACATTGTTCAAACTAAATGGTAAGAGAATATCGAGCAAACAAAATAGATTTAAGAAAACAGCTTTAATACAGTAAGAACCATATGGAAGTAGTGGATTCTTAAGTAATTTGGCTTACAAGCACACACATAGCAAAAGTATTCCGATAAAGAAATGTAGATGGTTCCTTCGTACAATCAGTTAAAAATATTAGGAAACACAAATGAGATATTTGATTTTGATTCTTCAAAATTAATGTTACACAAAATATCTTCTCAGAGGACGCCAAAAGAGTGAAAACTGCTGTAACTGCAACTGCAAGAAAACTGCTATAACTGCAAAACTGCTTAACTGCAAACTTACCTGCTGTATTCTTCACGAATTATCTTCAACACTCGTCTCACCATGTTACCTACAGTGGTCTCAGATGGTTGGGCTGCACTCATTCTCTTACCTTCCTTACGAATCAAGTTCATTAACTCTCCTGAAATGAGAGGGAGATATATCTGCAGTTCAATCTACTTCTTCCCTTAATTACTTTCTTAATTTACATTCTGTTCCTCTATCTTCTCAGTTAACTGGACCTTTTATCATTAACCTTTAACCTGGGACTTTTGTATGACATGACATTACGTGTGTGCAATTATCTAAATAAGAGTTTCCATGACTTGATTGTTTAAACCAGACACTATTCTTGCTAATTTTAATCAACCAATTAAAGTCAAGATTATACACTATGGGGCATAATGAAATATCAGGCTGATTCCATCTCTGTTAAACTTTCGAAAGTCCCCCTTTCATCAGGCTTGGGGGCCCCAAGGGAATGGTGAGTTTTGAGATGACTCCACTATTGTTAATAACTGTCATTCTCTCCTTGCCTTTTTAAAAACTATATTTTTAAAATTGTTTTTCTTTCATATTACTTTTTTAAAACTTTTATTGTGCACTGACCAGAGTCACATTTTTGTGAGATGGGCAGCTATATAGATATGATGGATGGATGGATGGATGAGAATGTGACTAAATGCAATGGAAGATTGAACTTTTGTACCTACTAACTTTCATATCGTATTTCTGTTACAATATCACCACAAGCAATATTAAAAAAATATTTATAATACAATACAATAACTAAAAACCAAAATAAAACTTTATAAAGTTTTATTTTGGACAGTCTTAACATCTTTTCTACAAACTACAAGAGTCAATACTATCATAGTACTGAAAATATTACTTGTATATGAGTAAAAGCAACATATCTTTCAAAGAGCTTTCACCTGCAGGTTTTAATAACCAGAGATTAATAATTATTAATATCTTTATTGATTCAATGTAACAAATAGTTTGTTAAATAACCAGCCCTAATCTTGAATTGAGCCAAGGAGACAAGTGAAAGGCTGTCAATATTCAGGTAATATGCAGTAGTAACTGAAAAATTCCATATTCTTTTCAAGAGTAGCCCTATGTAGAGCTTGTACCGTGGTATTTTACATGCAGTACTTTACATACAGTAATCTGCTTATAATTGCTGCTATATCCAGTTGTATCAACTGTGTGAAATGTAATCATGAGCAATGAAGTCCTTCCTACTGGGCAGCAAAGAATTCAGGAACATTCCATGCTATGAAGCTATCTTTAAATGAAAGCAGGACTACTTTCAGATTAAATTTAATTTTAATATCCAAATCAGTTTTCTGCTTATCAATAACTTCTTCATCTTGCCTGGCAGGATCTATCACAAGATGCTCCTCAGTAAGTTTTATTCCACTTTGACAAACTTCCATATCAGTTTTTTTTTTCTTTTAACATTAGATAACATTAATGGTTTCTAACAATGAACAATCTCTCCTGGAAACTTCATGGAGATCAGTTGTGTCTGTAGGGGATGTCAAAAGGCTAAAAATATTTTTAAAACAAATTTTTGAATTATTCTATGCAGTCATTATGATGGTAAAAGAATAAGCTTCCTTTGCTACCTTCACTGTCTGGGAATAATAGCATTCTACTAAATTCAATATACTTTGTTTTAAGATTTTACCATTTCTTTAGTTATCTTTCTCTAACTTTCCTCTTCAGCTAAAATGGAAAGGATATGGAGGGTGCTATATTTACATAATATCTTTAAACACAAATTAGCCAGCTCATTATAGTTAACCGAGCCCAGCCCATATTAGTTTAAAGTTCGGTGTGTAATATCCAAGCAACTAGATTAATTTGGTAAACCATTGTTAAGAACATCATCTCTTCCATACTTCAAATAAAGGTGGAAGAAAACTTTGCAAACTCATTCAAGAAAACATGGGGATACATCAGGTGCCTGGGGTGAGCTTTAAGATGACCATCCTCCTCTCTGCAAAAAAGATGTTATTGGCACATTGTTTGAAGTCACCAATAACTCATCCATCTTCAGAGGTCCGGTTCCAAATACCTGAGAATATTTTGACAGATAACATTTTATCATCTACGAACTGGAGAAACAAAACGCTGGAATGTTACAATTAGCCTTTCTACAGGGCAGACTTCCATTGCAACTGGATATTCTAGGTGGAAAGAAAAATTATATGCTGTGCAGTAGGCTTGAACAATAGAGTGCTTCACTGATGGAACCTATATTGATATTGTTTCCTGATTGCTTATTTCTACCCTATGACTATCATTAAGTGTTGTACCTTATGATTCTTGATGAACGTATCTTTTATTTTATGTACACTGAGAGCATATGCACCAAGACAAATTCCTCGTCTTTCCAATCACACTTGGCCAATAAAAAATATTCTATTCTATTCTATTCTATTCTATTCTATTCTATTCTATTCTATTCTATTCTATTCTATTCTATTCTATTCTATTCTATTCTATTCTATTCCAGAGGGGCATCAAAGAAACTGACTGAATTAAGACTTAAGGAGCATTTTCACTTTTCCTGTCTTGGAAAGTAATTAGCCGTGCTTTCTGTTTTATGCCGAGCAGGGGGTAAAGCCGGATTGAGGCAAAGAGGCTGGATCCAGCAGCCCGCGAAGGCATCTAATAAGCCTGTGCCTACCCCGCTTCCTCACCAGCATTGTCCCAGCGCCCGTTCGCCACGATCTTCCGCAGCAGCCCCACCGTCCGTCGGGCCACCTCCCCTGAACGCGGCAACTTTCCGCCTCTTTTCAGAAGCATCACGAAGTCTTCGATCTGGCCGGAAAGTTCGGACTCCTTCTTGGTGGTCAGGACCGACATTGCGGCGGCGGTGGAAGCTGAAAACAGTAACGATCTCAGCGGGGAACGAAAAAAAAAAGGGCTTTGGTTGCAGACCGGACCTTCGCAGAGCATCAGACGCCTTTCCGGGGAGCTGGGCTACCATTGGACAGAAGCGCTGGTTGGTCCCGCCCTTTTGTATATATACAGTATTTCAGGTCCAATCGTGAATTAAACATTAGTTGGAGAAGAAGAAAAAAAAAACAACCCGGGGCGTTCCGATTTCGTGAGATCGTCCCCCAAAAGTTTTGATTGCGAGGTGGCTTCTTGTTAAACATCTTATAACCGCAAAAGCGACTCTGCTTGCTCCATAACATTTAAACACGGAAAGAGCCAACCAAGTCATCGGTTCCAAAGCTGGGACGCCACCGCCTTTTCAAATCTTGGGAATCTGAAGAAATGTTAACATTTGCATCTTGTCAAAGTCTCTCGTGAGAGATGATGAGAAAACTCCAGTTGCGTGTTATCTCAACGTCCCCCAATAACACACAAACGCACACTATTGACTTCCCACTCCCTCCTCGTTCCGATGCAATTTGTGTTGGACAACAAGGATGAGACACAGTTTTTATCTGGTTTTATCGTTTATTCCATTTATACAGGCGCCCAGATCTCACATGAGATGAGCCGCCCAGATCTCACACTAGGTCGCTCACAATTAAAACATAAATGGTTCCTCCTAAAAAAGTAAATAAATGAAGCAACCGTACAAACAAAACATTGAAAACAGTATTTCCCCCCCCCCTCCCCCAATACAGTCATCCGACAAAGACATAGACATTTTAGGGGCTCGACATTGCCCTCTTATGGAACATTAGGTGTGAGTAAACAAATAAGACACACATGAATAATATTAAAGATTCTGCGCAGGATGTGGCGGCAAAGTGGAAGTGTATTTAAACAGTAAATTTAGATTATGTTTTTCCTTATTTCCTTTTAAAGTTCTCAGCCTATTTGGTATAATTTTCTCAAAGAAAGGAATTAAGGACTATAATTACAACAATACAAACTATGGTAATACAAACAGGAGAAAATAGAACAAAAAAGACTAGAAGGTGCAGAAAACAAAGAAAAAAAAGGAAAATAGAGGGGGAAAGAAAATAAGAATATGGTAAAAAACAGGACAATAAATATATAAATGACATCCCCATCTTCATCACAAGCATAAACAGTTTTAGTAATTTATTACCTTCTCTTAAAATAAGCAAATAATGTCTTCTTCCCATATCCTATCTCTTATCTATAGACAAAAGTATAATTATTTTCATTTCAGTCCTAATGTCAGCAAAAATCCATTAAAGGTTAACAGAGATAACAACATAGCTATTTTAGCCTTGATCAAATAAACCAACTTAATATACCTTCCATTTATTTCTCACTGTCATAGAACTTGGTTTCTTTTATTTTTATTCTTTCTCACAAAATTCTTTTTTTTTATTAAAAAGTTTTACAAAAAAGAGAAAAATTTCCCCCCTGTTCCCCCCACCCTTTACCCCCCTTCATCCCACCCTCCCCCCGACTTCCCAGAGCAAAATACAAAGTATTTCATTTAGTCAAACATAAACTAGATTAATCTACTTATCCTCAAAGTACTACCTCCCCCACTGAAACCTTAACTCCACTATCGATAACCAAATACTTCTAATACTAACAGTCATTCATAAGTTATTTGATATTTTCTTGTCTGATACTTATTTTGAATATAGTCAATCCATCTTCTCCATTCCGATACGTATCTTTCTTGCGTGTGGTCCTTCAAATACGCCGAGATTTTCGCCATTTCTGCTAGGTTTGTTACTTTCAATGTCCACTCTTCAATAGTAGGCAAAGAGTCTTTCTTCCAATATTGAGCTACCAGCAGCCTAACTGCTGATATTAAGTTCAAAATCAATTTAGTCTCTAAAACTGTACAGTCTGTAGTTATACCCAATAGAAACAATTGAGGAGTAAATTTTAACCTTCTTTTCAAAATGTTCTGCATCACCCACAAATTTTTATCCAAAATGCCTTGATTTTCTTGCAAGTCCACCATATATGGTAATAGGTTGCATCATTACATTCACATCTCCAACATTTAGCTTGCAAATTCGAGTACATACATGATAATTTCTTAGGATCTAAGTGCCATCTATAAAACATTTTATAAAAATTCTCTCTCAAATTTTGTGCTTGCGTAAATTTAACATTTCTGACCCAAATCTTTTCCCACGTTTCCATCATCACTGGTTCCTGAAAGTTTTGTGCCCATTTAATCATACAATCTTTAACCAATTCAGTTTCTGAGTCTATTTCCAGTAATGCATTTTTCCAAACCCTCAACAATGCATTTCTAAGTATATGACCCTTAAACACTTTATCCACTTTTTTTTCATACAACAAATAAGCATGCCGTCCATATAACAAATCATAACCTTCTATATTTAACATTCTTTCTTCAGTTAAGTTGAACCAGTCACTAATTTGCGATAAAGCTGCAGCTTCATAATACAATCTTAAATTAGGCATTTTAAGGCCTCCTCTCTCACGTGTATCCTGTATAATTTTCAGTTTCACTCTTGGTTTCTTCCCAGCCCAAATAAAAGTATTAACCCCTTTCTTCTCACAAAATTCTTAAAAACTTAACAAGCCTCTTTTGTAAATCTCATATAGAAAAAATTAGCCAGGTCACTCTCTTGGTTTGTTGTTTGTACATCCCTTTTAATTATTAAGACATCAGCCAGTTTCTTTTGTATTTCAGCATAACATCTTTTTCAATGTTATTATTGTAGTCTATCATTTATAAATCTACTTTCAACTCAGTCAGGTAGAACTTGTTCCTCTTTTAAACACAATCTATAGCAGTAGACATTTTAAAAATTAATTTCTGTGTGAATTGGTTGAAAAATATTCTTTATAATGTCCATTGTTAGATTATTTTTGCTTCATTCTGTAATTGTAAATTGAATTTAAGTGTTCTCCTTTAATTGTAATCTTAGCTCCTTATAGTTTTCTCTGGTGTCCAGTTTTGAATATTTTTATATTTTATATTTTTTAAAAAATCAAAGCAAAAGAATTTTTTCGATGGTAAAGATTCTTTATAATTAATTCCAAAATCTTATTTCAAGATTTAAAAATCTTATTTCATCTGAACCTTAGTCCAGAGATGAAATGCCGGTGGTTCGGAGAACTGGTAGCGATGGTGACGTGAGACTCCGCCCACCTGCCCGGTCATCGTTACTTCCTGGTTTTAACCAGGAAGTAACTTGTTTTTTGCCCTCTGTGCATGCGCAGAAGGGTTTGCGCATGCGCAGAGGGTCCAAGCACGGACGTGACACCCAAGCGAAGCAAGCGTACGTATGGCACATACACTTCCAAACTGCTTGGGAAGATAAGTAGATTTCACCCCTGCCTTGGTCCATTTGTAGCTGCACCCTATTGCTCATTATTCCAATATTTTTTTTAATTCTTAAACTTGTATTAAAACTTTTTTTATTAAGGGTTGAAGGAAACACATGCAGTACAGTAACTTTGCTAGTGAGATTTAAATTGCTTGTATTTATTAATTGTTATGTTCAGCAGTAACTCACTATTGTCTATTTTGTATTTGGTTCTCATTGTATGTATCCCTACTTTCCCCAATTTCACCATATCCTGTTCTTTCAATAAAGCATTCAGATCTACACACACCAGTGGTAGGTTGCTTCCGGTTCGGTCCGGTTCTTGCAAACCAGTAGTAAAGGTAAGTAGAACCCACCCCTGATGCACACGGTCTGCTTTATTGGAGGATAGGTGGGTTTAGCTGCATGTTGAGCTGCATACAGACTAATGTGTAGTGCAGACAGAACACATATATAATAACATCTATAGCACTACTTAGAAACAAAAGAGCAATATAATTATATTATTGTTATATAAACATTACATATAGGTAGCCCTCACTTACCCATCACATTTGGGGCCAGAAACTCTTGTTACTAAGCAAGGTGATCATAAAATGAAACACCACATGACCATGACCAATTTACAACATCAGTTCATCAGTTCTGGCTGCAGTCATGAAGCAAAACAATTCAGTTGATTACGTGCTATTTCACATGACTGACTTGTGACTTCCTGCTGGGTTCCTTATTCACTTTCCTTGTTGAAGCTAGCTGTGAAGGTCATAAACTGATATCACGTGATTACCAGATGCTGTGATCAGTATAAATGCACACTGATTGCCAAGCATGTAAATCATGATCACATGACCATGGGGATGCTGCAATGGCCACATCTTTGAGAACTAGTCATGAGTCTCATTTTTCAGCACTGTCATAACTTCAGATGCTTGTTGAACGAGTGATTGGTAAATGAGGACTACTTTAGTGTCAAAAATAAAGTTAACAAAAGATTTATATAAAATTACAATTTTAAATACAATTATATAAAATAATCTATACAATAAGGAAAGAAGAAGAAAAAGGGAAAAAGCTCTATACTAATTCTCCTAGTGAAGAGAGCACAAAGAAAAAAAAACCCTAGGAAATGAGAGGATAAGAAAAGAACCAAAAGCAATTAAACAGACAAAAAAAAAATCTAAATTTTCTCTCTCTCTCTCTCCCAGAAATCATCATATGAATTGCTGTTCTTTGTCACATGTTTTGTAGTTCATCTGCAGTTCAGATATTTCAATACTAATAAAACAAACAAATCTCTTTTGCCCTGGAATAAAATAAAGATATTTGTTTTGTTCAGCAACATAGGTTATTACAAGGATAATTTGGAAACTATGGGATGAATCTTGAATTGTATCTTTTCCCATAGCTTAATATTGGCAATTCTCAGGAACTTTGTTTTTTTACCCATAAGTCTCTTTGGTGTTCCTTGATCTAGACAGCAACAATCCCACGATTTCTCATTTGAATTAGATTTTCAGAGGTCATATTGCTTCCTACACATGTCCGTGGAAAGCTTCTTGTACAGCTTCTGGTTATCAGGAACATGATGCTGATTGGTAGGATTTGCTCTAATTTATTCATTTTTTTGACCTCAAAAATAGAATGACCCTT